TGTGCCCCTGATGTCCTCAATATCCCCCACCTCCCCCATGCCCCTGATGTCCCCCACGTCTCTGATGTCCCTGATGTCCCCCAATGTCCCCATGTCCCCATGTCACTGACAGTGTCCCCTCTCTTGCAGAAGCTGGAGGGCTCGCGGTGCCGAGGGCAGCTCCTCATCTTCGGGGCCACCAACTGGGACTTGATCGGCCGCAAAGAAGTGCCTAAGCAGCAAGGTGAGGGTGTGGGGCCACCAGCTCCCAATTCAGTGGTTTTCCCCTCATTTTTTATGCATTTATAATTAATTAACTTTTTTTTAATTAACATTTTTGGGGGTTTTTTTATAAACCAGTTGTGTGGCATCATCTGGGGTGCGCTGGGTCTCCTGCAAAGCAAAATAAACCCATGGTTGATTTTTGATGCTTTTCTGTTTTAATTAATTTTCCTGCTTATTTTTAGGCATTTATTATTAATTAATTTTGTTATTAATTAATATTAGGGGGTGTTTTAATCCAGTTGCATATTGTAATCAGGGCCAGGACTTGGGGTGCGCTGGATCTCCTGCAAAGTGAAATAAACACATTGCTTCTTTTTGATGCATTTAGGTTTTAATTAAAATTTTTTTCTGCTTATTTTTATGTATAAATATTAATTAATTAAATTTTTTTGCATGTATATGGAATTAAAGTTTTCATTAATTAATAGTTCTTTTTAATATACAGTTGCATATTATAATCTGGGGGCCAGAACTTGACATACACCAGATCCTCCAAAGCAAAATAAATGCTCCACTTACTTTTTATACCTTTCTTTTCAATTAATTTTTTGGTCTGCTTATTTTTAATGCACATATATTAAAAAAAAAAGATTAATTAAGTTTTATTTATTTGTTTATTTATTAATCCAGTTGCATATTTTAATCTGGGCCAGCACTTGGGGTGCACTGGATCCTGCAAAACAAAATCAACTCACCACCTACTTTTTCTGCTTTTATATTCAAATAATTTTTATTCTGCTTATTTTTTATGCATTTCTATTGAATTAATTTATTATTAATTATTATTTTTTAATATATATACACTTGCATATCATAATCCAGGCCAGAACTTGGGGTACACCAGATTCTGCACAGCAAAATAAACGCTCCGCTTACTTTTTATGCCTTTTATGTGTGCAATTAATTTTTTTTCTACTTATTTTTTATTTAATTTTGTTGTATGTTGAATTCCTTTTATTTAATTTCGTTGTATGTTGAATTAGTTATTAATTAATTAATTAAATTTTGAAATATACACTTGCATATCATAATCTGGGCCAAAACTTGGGCTGCACCAGATCCTATAAAGCGAAATAAATACACTTTTAATGCCTTTATATTCAATTAATTTATTTTCTGCTGATTTTAATGCATTTCTATGCAATTAAATTGTTTATTAATTAATTTTATTAATTATTCTTTCAATCTTTGATACAGTTGCCTATCGTAACCTGGGCCAGAACCTGTGGGGGCCGCACAGGTATGGGTGTCTCTCAGGGATTCGAGTGCGGAGCGTGGTTTCAGGACCCTGCGCTGCTCACAGTCTGCTCATCACCGCCGAGGGCCAGCTCTGGAGCTGGGGTGAGCCCAAAAACCACCCTCCTCACCCCAAAAATAACCACCCCCCCACCCCAACTACACCCCAACGTGATGTCAGGCCAATTCGTCTTCTCGTTTTGCTGCAAAAATGAGCGATTTTTGGTCAGGTCGTAATGAAAAAGGACAATTGGGACACGGGGACACGAAGCGGGTGGAAGCCCCGAAGCTCATTGAGGTCTTGGGGGGTGAAGCCATCGTGTTGGCAGCCTGCGGCCGTAACCACACCCTGGCACTTACAGGTATTGAGGGGAAAAACCCCATATTTTGGGTAAAAGATCTAAAATCACTTCATTTTGCCCCAAAACACCCCTTTTAAAAATTTGTATATTGCAGAAAGCGGTTCGGTGTTCGCCTTTGGGGAGAATAAAATGGGGCAGCTGGGACTGGGGAACCAGACGGACGCCGTGCCCAGCCCCACCCAGGTATCACCCCTCCTTCCCTTCATATTTTTAGGGTGAAAACCAGCAGATTTGGGTTTTTCTCCTTGGAAAAAAAAAAGCTCTAACAGAACCCAAACCCTTTGAGGATGTGACAGCATCGCTCTGAAGGACGCTGCTTCATTCACAGCGTCGCTGCAAATAAATGCAAAGAATTGGCGACAAAACCCCCAGATTTGAAGATTTTGGGTGTTTCTTTGGGAAATTAATTTTTTTAAACCTTTTTTTCTCCTTTTTTCTCCTTTTTTTTAAGTCCTTTTTCTATTTCTCCTGCAGATCATGTACAATGGGCAGCCCATCACCAAACTGGCTTGTGGGGCTGAATTCAGCATGATCATGGATTGCAAAGGAAACCTCTACTCCTTCGGGTGCCCCGAGTACGGGCAGTTGGGTACGGAGCTGTTTTGGGGTGCTTTGCTACAATTTGGAGCTATTTTGGGGTTGGGAGAGGAGGGGAAAAAAGTTTCCTGCCTCAGTTTCCCCATTTGAGGAAACACACCCCATCCTTACCTCTTAAATTGGGGAAATATGGATTTGAAGGCTGGAGTATTCGATGGATAAAGAATTGGTTGGATGGTGGCAGGCAGAGGGTTGTGGTGAAGGGTTTGATGTCCAAGTGATGATTGGTGTCCCCATGGGTCAGTCTTGGTGCTCTTCAACATCTTAATGACCTGGATGGTGGGACCTTGTGAACCCTCAGCCAGTTTGCTGATGACACCAAGTTGAGTGGTGTGGTTGGAAGGGACCTGGACTTGCTGGAGAGATGGGCCCTCAAGAACCTCATGAGGTTCCACAAGGCCAAGGTTGTGCACTTGGGTTGGGGCAATCTC